GCTCCTTCTTTTTCCTCCCCTCTTCTCTGCAATTTTGGTTCCTATTCCTCAGCTTGCACAACATACAGATTGTGTCTTGGCTGCTCATTGGAAGGTAAAGGGTGTTGTCTATTCAGTGTATAGACAGTGAGTGCTTGTCCTGACTCATGCGTCCGCTGGATGACCTTGGACGTGACACTTTTGCTCTGAGTCTCATTTTGTTTGGTGATTGGTGGGATTTTATCTTTGGAATTGATGAAGAAAATTTCTAGATTCCAAGATATTTTCCCATTTCTAAATTTATCTTATGTTCAGTAATCTAGCATACATTCTGAGATGTGTGGTCAGGCCCCCGAGGCTCTCTCTTCTGAGTCTTGTACCCAGATGACTGCTCTGTGCCCTGCTAGCGGGTCTTTTTAACTCCCACCGATGTCTGCTTTTCCAATGGGCTTGAATTCAAATTGAACTCTGAAATTACCATGTCATCCTGAAGGGAAGCAATGGTGAGCATGAAGTCCTATATCTACCCTTTACCTTCTTTCTCACTTGATATTTTTGAGGCTGCAATCTCTTCTTTTTTTGTGCTAACTTGCTACTTCGAAGGACATTTTATTTTATGATGCTTTTTAATTCACAGAGTTTTCATAAATCTTATATCAGTTTCTCATATTAACATCTTACATTAGTATGGCACATTTGTCACAATGAAGAGATAATATTGATACCTTACAGTTAACTGAAGTTGATATTTCATCCAGAATTTCCTAGTTTGCACCTAAGTGTTCTTCTTCAGCCCTGAGATTCTATCCAGGATACCACATTACATTTACCTGTCATGTCTCTTTAGCTTCCTCTTGCCTGTGACATTTTGTCAGCTTCCTCTTCTTTGATGAATGTGACAGTTTTCAGGAGGACTAGACAAGTGCTTTGTATATCTTTCAGTTAGGTTTTGTCCGATGTTTTCCTCTGAATTGGATAGAGGTTGTGGCTTTTTTGAGAAGATTACAGAGGTAAAGTGCCATTCCCACACCATCCTATCCCATCAAGTGTAATACTATCAGCATAACTGATCACTGTGTGTGTTCACCTCGATCCCTTGACTGAGGAAGTGTTTTACGCATCAGATTTTCCCACTGTAACATCACTCTCTTCCTCCATTTCCATACCGTGGTTTTTGGGAGGAAGCCACTATGCACAGGAAAAGGAAGTTAATTTCTTATTCACCTCACTGGTCCTGGTAGGTATTTCTGATTGTCTTCTCCTCACCCTGTCTCATTCAGGGACCTACCCAGCATTTTTCTGTTCTGCTGCTCTGACATTCCCTAGGGCTTTGCCATCTTAATCCAGTCAGCACTAAGGAAAGGAAAATGTGGAGGAGAATGTTTGCTTTTGAAAGCCTTGGCCTGAAAATGGCACACATCACTTCCACTTACATTCCATATGACACTCCTTCATCTGCCAAACCTAACTGCAAGGGAGGCTAGGACATATGGTCTAGCTGGGTGCCCAGGAAAAACAGGAAATGGATTTGAGAAAAATGCTAGCAGTATTTGCCTCATTTCTTAAGAGCACAAAAGGTAACAAGCCAATCCCTTCTTTCCTATTGTCTCATAATATAGCCGTGGATTTCTTTAAAAAGTTAAAAAAAAAAGTAATGGGAGAACATAGATTTAGAATTAAAGAGAGTTTGTAGACATTGAAAAGATGTAGAATACAAAATGTATTCCATTGGCTCTATTTTGTTAACTTCACCATTGACCTGTGAGCATGTGCCGAGGACAGGTACTTACAAGTCAGCATTTGAGAACCTGGGGCCTATATTCTCTCTCTCAGTACCAGATTGGATTCTTGCCAGAATCTATCATGTCTTTCTGTCAGCAGTGGCTCCCTCTGGTTTTTATTGCCTATGAAAAACCTACTCATTCTTCAAGTGACAGATGAGATATTTAACGATGCCTCATAGTTTATTCTGTTTGCCTAACTGTCACACAGAATTAGTCTCTGCCTCTTGGGTCCATCATGCTCTGCTCTGCCCTCCCTCCCCTCTCCTACTTTCCCTTCCCTTCTCTCTTCCCTGTACTGGGATTGAACCCAGGGTCTCATACATGATTAGCAAGCACTCTACCACTGAGCTACTTCCCTAGTCCTTTTTATTTTTCATTTTGAGATAGGTTCTTAGGAAGTTGCCCTGATTGACCTCAAACTTGTGATCCTCCTGCCTCAGCCTCTCAAGTAGCTAGGATTACAGGCATGTGCCACCAAGTGCAATCTATATCTTTCTTTAAAATATAGCACAACATGATTTTGCCCACTATAAAGACAGCTTCACCTATGTTAGCCAGCTTTCATGGAGGCGTTTGTCTTGACTTGAGCTAGGGCTTTATAAATGGGAATATGGTACTGACCAGTGAGGTGAGCTATACAGCTTTCTGATGACCCATCCAAGGTTCTGGGCACTTATTCAATGGGTCTTCTGTGAAACTTCCGCAGTAGGATGTTCACTTTCACAGGTGATCCCATGGAGTCAGACTCTGCACTTGCTCTGGCACTACTCTCAGTGCTGGGGGTTGGCATAGAAGTCTGGTGCTAATTATCCTGCTCAGAAGTCACCAACCTGAACTCCCAGGGTCCCAATAGGTGGATAGTTTCACCATGGCAAAAGCAGTGTTTAATTACAGGCACCTAAGAGGTACATGAAGAAAACAAACACTCATTAGCAGGCTTTAATGACTAATCTGCCCTGTATCTCATTACCAACAAAATCGCGACTTCTTAAAGTGACCTAACACGTGCCAGAACTAAAACATGAATGAAGAAATGGTTGCCCCTTTCCTTCTTCCTATTCTTTTTCTACCCTCTACTCTCAGCTCACTGTTTACTTCAGTGATTTTGCCAGTTCAGTCAATATTGTATAACAGAAATCGTATACATAGAGTCTTTCACAGTGATGTCTTTCCCTCAGATACATTGTTTCCTTGAGTGTCATAGCCTATACTTTAGACCTTAATTAGGATTTATCTTTTTATGGTATCTTCTAGTTCAGTAGTGGCAAACCTGTGGCACGTGTGCCACAGCAGGCTGCTCATTATCATTGAAAAACTCTAAAAGGTTCGCCATCCCTGTTTTAGTTCACACTATCATTTTGTTATTTACTTAAAGTTTGCAGTAATTGGAGTTTGGGTTGGAATTGTATTTTCTCACACAGATACAAAAACAGAGATTCACATATTAAATGACATGCTCAGGACCAAAAGGCAATTAGGGTTCAATTCTGGTTCTTCTGACTCCAAATCTAGAAGTGAGTGTGTCACATGAGAAGTTGACTGTTAGGCAGGTATCCTCAGGGCAGAGTTACACAGAGAGTTGCTTGCAGCGAGCTTAGCTAGTGAAGTGTTTCTCTGATAGGACATGGTGGGGTGGGCATGGCCTACGGAGGTGAAGCATTGAAGCCAAATCCCTTAGTATAAATGCAGCACTCTGGACAGAGTATTCTAATGCACTCAAAGTGAATAGACTCATAAAGGGGACCTAAGATCACTTAGTCTAACTTTCAGATTTCATTGAGAAGGAAATTGAGACCCATAAATTAAATTGAATTTATTTAACTCAAAAAGATAATAGTTATTCGTCAGAATGTTTAATTTGCAGTTCATTTCTTTTTACATGATCTCCCTCCTCATACACAATTTTCTTGGCATCTTTGCTTCTTAGAGCTGCTTTGAAGAAGACATGATGACACTTGCCCTGCCCTGATTGTTTCAAGTATTTGCCATCAAGTCATATGTGCAAAAACCCGTATGTTATGGGGGTTGGAAGATTTCTACAGAGTTAAACACACCCAGTCCTGAACTAGAATTCCTTTTAGGTCTCAGAATCAATGAATGCATTCAATTTAATGTGCAATGCCTAGCATTTTGAGAGAGAGAGAGAGAGAGAGAGAGAGCGAGAGAGAGAGAGAGAGAGAGAGATTCTTAGTAAATTAAGTGAACAAAGGATGAAGTGGAGGAGTAGGCATTCAGGGATTGTCCTACTGAGCACACTGTACTGCTACTTCAGCAATCATAATCTTTGCCTCAACTTTTATGCACCAAAACAGGATTTTTCTTCTTCTTCCTAGTTTATGACATAGTTAGGGCTCTAAATGCACTAGCGAAAATTACTCTAAATTTTCACCCAACCCTAGAGACAAAAAGATGGTGATGCCCTGGAAGCTAGATTGTTACTAGTAGCCAGCACAGCAATGAGAAAGCTTTAAATATTATATTAGCTGATGTACAAAAATCCACATGTGTTACACAAAAACCAGTCTGAGCATTTCTATCTGTAGTGGTCCTAACAATGAGGACTATTTCAGTTTGAAATTGACTTTATTTAGTACTGGAGCAATGACTTTTGCAGTACCATAATTCCTACCTAACAAAGTATTTAGTGAAGGGGAAATCTGCATTTCTGTGTAATTTCTGGTGACATCTTGTAGCCCTGAGTGTTTTTTGTTTGCCAAGATATTCTTTCTGGCTAAACTTGGTCAAAATTTCAAAATCTAGGAGTTTCTGATTGATAATTGACATTCTGCAGTAAAAGAAATCTTCAGAGTCTGATTGTGACTGCTGTAAGCTTAGGAGGAATCACAGTGGTATTTTGGCCTAAACAGAAATCAGCTGGAACCGGACAATAAACTTGGTGGCATCTTGCATCCAGACACCAGGTGCACGAGGGAGGGAAAATAATTCACTTTTGAGCATGCCTATATATTTTCTAAATTGTAATTAGTTTTTATTTATTCTCATTTGATTTACTGCTGCAAAGATTTGTGATTCTATCCCTAGGAGAAAAAAAAAAAAAAAAACCAAACCAAACAGACATTGGGAATAATACTGAAATGTCCCTTTCCAAGTACTAATTTTAATATTTATGCCATTGGCATTTGTACATTTACTTACAGAAAGTGTTTAACAATTTGCAAGTGTGCATTTTTATAAACAATATAAACATGTGAATAATTATTTCATTTTGTTTTGCAGAACCCCAGCTGAAAGGAATTGTGACAAGGTTATTCAGCCAGCAGGGATATTTCCTGCAGATGCACCCAGATGGTACCATTGATGGGACCAAGGACGAAAACAGCGACTACAGTAAGGAAATTAGCTTTTCACATTCTGATTAGAAATTGAATGTGAGGCCCAGTGTAGCTCATACTTAAAGCCTGGCCAGGCTGGTTAAATGAAACTATTGAACTATTACTGAGCTAGTGTCTTTTCCTTTATCCTTTTACATGGATTCCCCACAGCAAGAGGCAGTAATGGGATGAGGTTATGTACTAAATGAGAAAGTGCAAGACTTGAAGGAATTCCAGCTGGTCAACAGATGAACATGTCTTCCGTTGCAATGTTTTTCCTTTACAGTGATAAGTAATCGTATGAAAAATACAGACCTGTAGCCTTATGCTAGTGTTTCAATTAGTATTTAAATCTTGAAACCAAATAATGAACAAGTTATAATTCTCAGAACACTCTGTGATAGACAAAAATCAATTTTTAGGTAAACATTGAAAATATACATATGTATATATTATTTCATTTTGGTTAAGGATAAAACTGAAGAAACATGTATTTACATATTGTATTGTCATACAGTGTATATATAATAGAATCAAGATAACAAAGTCTGGTAGACCTGACATGTAACTTTTAAAATAACACTTTTGAAATAAATATGATTAATACTATACTTGAAAATAGTTTTTAAGTAATTTAACTTTAGAGTTGAGAAGATCAGTAACTAAGTACAATCATTCAGGTATGACAATGTATTTGCATTTCAGAAAATTTTCAAATACTAGTTTCAGAAGCAAGAATGATAGCGCTCATGTGTTTTAACTTTTCATAATCAAATACAGATACCTCAGGGTAAATTCATAGTGTTCTGAAATTATTCAAGGTGCCATATTGTTTTATAAAATTTATATGTAATCACTGCTGGATTTTTAGTGTTGGAGACACAATAAATGTTCATTAAATATCTGCCCAATGGAATTGTGATTCTATTGGATAAACGTGATTATTTTGGTTAGATCAACAATCTCCCATGCTACATAAAGTAATCTAGGAAGTCTGACATTTTATAAGGATTAATTTTTAAATGAATGGTGTAGATTTGAAGAAAGAGTGAAAATCCTTAAAGTTCCAAAATGTTCTTGTCCACCCCTGCTAAACTTTCTTTGTTCATTTAATTTTACACATTACAAAATATGAATTACAATGAAGAAAAGATCTTATTATGAAGAATTTCTTCTTAGTGTTCTTCCTTTCAGATTTGAGCAAAGTAGTTGATTAGTATATTGTGGTTTGCATTGTTGGTTTGTATCGCTGTAAATGCATACATCAAAGGATTCAAGTCCCCAGTTCAGTGAAGAAGAATGAGGATGCCCCTCTTTTCATGTGAGATTGTCATCTACTGTGCCTGTATTTTGAATGTCAATTTAGGCGGCTACAAATATAAAAGGAAAGAATCAGGGAACTGCTTAGCTGTGTCACTCGTGGTAATTCTAAAATGTCAGTTAATTCTGCTGTCCTGGTTTCTTTTTCATCAAATGAGGTGACCAGAGACGATGACATCAATATCCTCTGTCAGTACCGTCCACCCAACATTGACAAAATTGAAACTTTATAAATTGATGAAGATAGATTCAATCTCCAAATAAATCAGATACTCGTAGTCAGTTCCGCAGGGTGCTTCCTTAACCCAGCCAGCCGTACTGCAGGTGGGTGACACTAACACAGATGAGGACAGAAAGGTGGAGTGTAAGTGCAGGATTAAATACACACGAATCTTTCCTTCACCTTTACTAGAAGGTAATTGAAAGAGCTCGCCCTGCCGATGCTGAGTCTGCCGCTGTGTAAATCCATACCTACATGTTTATGCATATATTTATACCCATATAATTATATATATAATAGATATGCTTATATTATATACACTTATATACATATTATATATATAATAAATATACATGTCAAAACAATGTCTGATACACATATACCACATACATACCCCGCCATAATGAGGACGGTGGATCATGTATTTTGTCAAATGGATTTAGAAATTGTCTGAACTCATGTTTAAACTGATTTTTACTAAGATGAGCTACTGCACATACTTTTTTCTTTTTGGTACTGGGGATCGAACTTGGGACCTTGCACTTGTGAGGCAGGAGGTGGAACCACTAAGCTAAGTCCATGGCCCTACACACACTTTTTGATAAGCTAGTTTAGATTACAAAATGAAAGAATAATATAAATTCATCTGTATACCCACCACCAGCTTAAAAGGTAATTAAAATTTTCAATGCATTTGAACCTCATGCACATTCTCTATGAGGCAATCTTGCTTTCCTTCATTGCCAGACATAATCGCTCTCCTAAATATGCATTTGTTTTTTTGGGTTTTTTTTGGTACCGGGGATTGAACCTGGGTCCTTGCACTTGCAAGGCAGGCAGCGGAACCACTGAGCTAAATCCCCGGCCCCCTCCTAAATATGAGTTTTCTTGGTTCTATTCATTTTTCATATGTTTTTTAATATGAAAATACACTTGACCCCACTCATAATATTTTTGCATATTTTAAAACTTTTTATAAGTGATATCAATATCATACACATCTCTTATATTCTTTTTCCTTAGTGTTATGGCTGTGAGGATTTCATAGTTAATATATATGGTCCAGTGTATGAACATTTATCTTTTCAACATTTATCTGTTCTTTTATTTGGCTATTAATTATCATTTCTATTTTAAATCAATTACAATCAGTGCTGCGAAGATCATTGTTACAGATGTCAAAAAGCTCTTCCTTGACTATTCTTCAAACAATTACACAACACATATCTCACTTTGTCACTGTCTAGTCTGATACCCAACACCTTTCTTTTACTCTAACAAATACTTGTGATAAATCAACTTTAAAAAGAGAAAAAGTTTATTTTGGCTCATGATTTTAATTCAGCCCATGAATGATTGTGCTGGTTGCATTGGGGCCTGTAGCGATACAGTAAGTACATGGTGGTGGGAGCTGGGGCTGGGGAGGCCTGTTCACCTCATGGTTTGGATGTGAAAGATGAAGAGGAAGGGTCGCACAACCCCCGTTGAGGGCCCAACCCTGTTGATTGGAAGACCTTCCACTAAGACCCACCTTTCTAAGGTTCCAGCCACCAATGACACTATAGCGATGACCAAGACATTGACACGTGAGCTTTGGGAAGACTTTCCATATCCAAAGTATAGGACCACCTTTACTTTTATTCACAACTGCTGTGACCATTTCACATGTATACTGTGGCACCTTGTTTACTTTTTATCTTCTTCCCCGGCAGAATGTAAGTTCTATGTACAAAGATTTTGTTTAGATTTTTTATATCTCATTAGAATGCTTTCTCATACATAGTAAACAATGCAAACAGAATGAATGGATGAAAGAATGAATGGACCAATGTCTCTCCCTGTGAATATGTGAAAAAGTTTTTCTAGGTCATTTGCTAAATACTTCTTTTTCTTTAGAAATAATTTTCGACCTCAGAAAAATTTCAGAGTAATATAGCAAGCTCCTTTAGATCCTCAGCCTGCTTCCTGTAATGCCACCATTTCACCTAAAAGCAATACAGTTATCCAAATCAGGAAATGAACATTGGCCTTTATTCAGATTTCACCTTTTTCAGCTAATATACTTTCTTTGACCCTCTTTTCACATAATTTTAATAAAAATTCCCAAAGAAAAATAAAGTACTTTGATACATAATTTTTCTGAGTGAAGACTGGGGTAAAAATACCAGGGAGACACTAAAATTCTACTCATAGTTTTTAATGGAAAAATTATAAGCCTCTAAGTTGTTAAGATGCCTTTTCTTTCTCCACTTTGTGTGGGTGGAGAGTAAAAGCAGTTGATTGTTTGAAAAAAAATCTTGTTACTATGAGCTTCTGTCAGAAAAGTGTTATTTGGTTCACTAGACATCATTAGGCCCAAGCAACTTTACCATGGTATCTTGCGCAGAATTGATAAAGACACCTGTTCTTTTGTTCATGACGAAAAGACTAATTATATGTAATTGAGTACAACGGCAAATGGGTTTGTCAGCAGTAACAGATAAGAATCTCTATGAATGTAATGATAACAAAAAAATGCAGAATTGTGTCGGAACACTGGTGGTACAAAAAGACACTTGCAGTTTGGAGGGTAATAATAGGAATATTTTACATAAAATTAGAACCCTAATTATTCTGTTCCACCAGTTGCCATAGAGAATGCATTTGAAGAGATTAAAGAGAAAATGATGAAGCTATTGTAACAAATGCCTTGTTCTCTTTTCCTCGGAACAAAAATTGGTAGAGTTGTTTGCAAGGCGGTAGGCTACCTGGTAGGTCAGTGCAGTGGTCACAATGGAGGTCTCCAGCACCTGGTGTACTGGCACTGGAAGCCAGGGTGGAGGTCTCGGATGTGTAGAAGTGGTGCCTGGAATAGTCCCAGAACTTGGTGACTTTGAAAGTTCCTTCCAGTCTTGAGATTCATAAGATTCCAGTCTTGAGATATGTAAAACAAGTGTATGGTACAAAATTGTAAAGGTACCAAAGGGTATACAGCTGAGAAATAAAACAGTATGTGACAGCCAGGCACTGGCTTGGCACTCCCAGTAGGCTGGGTGTTCTGCTGGATATAAATGGCTTCACATCACGCAAGATCAGACAGGGCCACTGTAATGCCATAGATCAAGACAAAAGCAAAATCCCTCAGAAAACAATTGCATAGTCCAACCTACCAAATAATGAAATTTTCTTTGTCCTGGATCATGTTAGTGCCCCTTCTGCTTTACTAACTGTACAATCACATGCACCTTTTTAGGTGAATGAATCTGAAATGATCCCACAGTTCTCTGAGCTCTCCCTAATCTGAACACACCCAAATCCTCTAAATCTCCTCCTACAGCTTGAGACACATCAGCTTGGTCGTGATATGTGTTTTTTTCTCCTTAGCATGGAGTAGTTAAGCCCAACTCTGTTCAGCCATGGAGTGCTCCTGATATTCTTGGGTTGGAAGGCATTGGGATAATAAAAAACAATTTTCTTTTCCATCCTCCCTCTAACAT